GAATATCGTGTAGAAAAGAAAACGTGAAACGTGGAAAGTTGATTAAAAAAGGAAAGGAGAATGGGCTGGATTATTTATTGGACAACCAACGTAAATTATGTAAATTATGCACTAGGTATTTAATCAGAAGATTAAATTTTAAATAATTAAAAATTATTAGATTTTAGTATTAAATCCGTCATGATTTAATGAATGAATGTGATGATTTCTTCTTGGATGTTCCTTGGCATATAGTCTAGTAAAATTTTACTTAATTTAGATGGTATTAAAATTCTTGCACTGTCTTGTTTAATGTTGAGTTCAATGGTACATGTAAAAATTTCAAAAATATTTGATTGTCTTTCCATAGTACTCACCGTCAGTGTGAATGTTAAAAAAATATTTTTTAGTACTTAACCAATAGTGCAGGTAATATAATTGATTATCTACATAAGATAGAATATTATGGAAAAAAAATATTATTACCCACAAGTGTATAATTTAATTTATTACAGTTGGTAAGTGAATTAAATATGCCCATTTTCCTTTGAACAATGGGACCTAATTAAGCAAAATATTTTTCTTCGTTGGTAGAGAAAAAAAAAAGTAAAATACTTTGAAAATTAGACTGCGCTTGAAACATACTTGCGAAAATATATAATTTGTAAATAAACTAGCTACACATATTGTGGGGGCTTTTTCTACATAAACAGACAGGAAATATTCCCCAAAAAAATGGTCCTCTAGCCATGTGATCTTAGCGACTCTCCCGCCGGACTATGATAAAAGCGATTTAAAAAAGTAAATAATGTATATTTATTGCTTTATTTATAGTATATGTATATGTTAGCTATTTATTATTTAAAGACTGACCGTTGGGATCGAACATTGTAAATAACTTAAAAAAATCCAGTTTTTAATTATTCAATTTTATTTAATTTAATTTTTTTCGTCTATTCGTATATCTTATTCTATACTTTAGGATGAGTTGAAGAACAGTATTTTTTCCTGACTCGGATTTAATAAATAGTTAAATTACACCATAAAAATAATTATGATTCCCAAAGAGTAGGAGGTAAAAATTAAAATTATTGTTTCATTCAAGTAATTGTAACTTTGCTGAATTTGGTAGAGGTCTTTTTATAGAGGATTAAATTCTGTACAATATTGTTTGGAGAGTTAACCTCATGAAGTGTACAGATTTTGAAATAATGGGCTGTGAAACTGGTACCTAATTTTCGAAAGCATTCAATTCTCTACAAAAATGTCTAGTAAAATATTCCAAAAGTTGATTGAAATCTATAACTTAATAAAAATGATAGTAATGTAAATTTCAAATAGAGTTTTATATTTTGTACTTACTTAACAATTGTTTAACTTCTTCGGAAATATACAATAATACTTAAGTATTATGTATCAACAAAATGTAGTTAAAGTTAACATTAATATTATTAGTATCATTTTTATTAAGAGTATTGTGATACCATATTCAGCAAAATTATATTGTTCTGATTGAAAGTATGAAATTCCATGTGCCTCGTTTTAATTTTTTAATGAATATCTCGTCTTTGGGGAGAATTATTTTTTTGACATAATTAAACTCTTTATAGAGTTAGAACAAGAAAAGTTGCTTGTTTTCGACACACCCTACAAATACCTACTTAATAGAGTGTAATCGTCTTGTCTCATTTATTTATTTCGTTCAGATTTTTTCTTTTTCTGTATGACGTGGCATTACGCCCTATCTATATCCCATTTTTCAATTTGTTGCTTAAACGGTTCTCTCTAAATAAGTATTAATTAAACGAGTAAAGAAGCGTTCTATTTATAGTTAATTAATTAATTAATTGGAAACGATCGCCACAAATCGTTGAATTCATGACTTGTCACAAAATCGATTTGAAAATGCGTATTTTATTAAAAATTATTGTGAAAATCTTATGTACAGTATGTCTCGAATTCGAATCTGCTACGATATTAAAAGTAGTCTGTGTACATGGTAGACAAAGACAAAAATTATTAAGAAAATAATCCCTTATATTTTTGTTGTGTGTGTCAACAAATTCGAATTCGTTATTAAAACAATAAGAAAAAGTGTACACAACAGACAAACTATATGCGTATTTGGTTTTTATAAATGGTAAGAACAAACCAGGCAATATCCCCTTTATATTATGCAGTTTTATTTATTTTTTATTGTCTGATATTCGTTCAAGCTGTTCCATCTATTTATGAAAATTTTGGTTGGGTGAAGTTGTGTAAAAAATTGGTTTGGCCATTGAAGGTTTTTTTTTTAAATAACTTGCATCATTTTTTATTCTTTTAATAATCAAACGGCCCTTTAGCCTTTGGACTTTCAAATTTCCCTTCATTGTTAGCAATATATCATTTAAAAATTCTGTTTCTCATGTAATACAAGTAAAAAAGGAATTTGAATTCTTTTCATTACCTAATTTTTATGAGAAATGCTGTAATATTTAAAGGCGAAATTTTAATCAATATTGTATTAATGTCATTCAAAATGTTTTTATGTAATTTTTTTTTAATTATAGGCCAAGACCAATTATTGTGATAAAAAACAACTTGCTAGCAATATTGTAAAACTACAGTAGCAATAGCATCAAATGATAGTTAGTGAAAATATTTTTATTAATTGTGTGTTTCTTTTTTTGGATGGGCACAGAGTATATGTAATTTTTATCTTCGAATTTTTAGTTATTTATTTTACGTTATTTATTCACTGTACTGCGTGTACATTTTAATTATGATTTATCCGATATTGTGCCTATAAATTTATTATTAGAGCAGACCTATTAAAATATATACATGGGAAAAATTAATGAATTAATAAAACAAATAAAAAAAATGAAAATAATATACAAAATGGGATTGAGAAAGAAAACCGAAAGAAAAAAAGCCTCAATCAAACCGTGTTTGTGACATGAATGAATACAATACTTAACTTGTAGATAATTGTGCTCTATTTAATGTTTATTAGAAAACAATTTTTATGTGTATGATTCTAAGAGAATCAGGTGATGTAATATAAAACAATAAATAATGTTTCTATCATTTAGAAACGATAGTCATATACTTGTGTTTTGTATGTAATCTAAACGCCAGAAAATATACTCAAATTGTTTTTAACAATTTTGTGATTTATTTTTCCTTTTCTTTTCTTATGTACACGCGGAATTAAGTCTTTACACGGGGGATAAAATAACATGTAAAATATAGCTGTTAATGTTACACATATTGTTATTTTTACGATTTATCAGTACTTTTTTTTTTAGGTACCGTTCCAGGAAGTTTTTCGAGCTATAGGACGTTTTTGAAGGATAGGTAATTTTTAATGCTCTCTATAAAATTTTGTATATCACAATAGAAAATAATTCAAAATGATATAATAATTTAAAGTAAGAGCAATAAATAGGGTATATTACAGCAACAAGAAATTTTACATTATAAAGGAAAAAGTTAACATTTCTTTACTAAAAATAATTTATTTTCTATACCACATTTGTATTGTATTTATTCTTTTTACTTTCCTTTGCAGTTGTAAGAGACCATATAACAGAGCTTCGGCTGGTGGTGGGCATCCAGGTACATAAATATCAACAGGTACTATTCGATCACACCCTCTTAAAATAAAAATATCATTACCGTGCCAAATGAAACAGAGTATATACTTCAATTCAAAGGGTGTAAATTAACCACTCAGGTTATATGTAAGGTAAATTTTCTATATAGGCATAGGAGAATAAAATATCAATATCAGGATGTTCCAAAGTTAGGAAGGATTAATTTTAAGGATAATACAACTTAACTTCTAATAGGAAACTCACCTTACTACAGAATATGAATAGTGGTAATACCCTCCCCCATTTGCACAGCTTCCCATTGAAATAACCCATCGTGGTTCAGGCATTTGATCATAAACTTTCCTCAAGGCAGGTGCCATTTTATTTGTTAATGTACCAGCCACAATCATAACGTCAGCTTGTCTGGGAGAAGCACGAAAGACAATCCCAAACCTAAAATAAATTCCTTAAGCGTCTCAAACATTACTAATTCTTTATCTACCTGTCCATATCATATCTTGGGGCTGCTATGTGCATCATTTCTACGGCACAGCAGGCAAGACCGAATGTCATTGGCCAAAATGAACTTTTTCTAGCCCAATTGAATAAGTCATCTAAACGAGCCAAAACATATTCTGCCTTGCTGTTAATATTTTGAAATGGAGAATATTTCTTTGGTGGAGGCTGCGATTCAGGCAACGGTTTTTGGGGCTGACATGCCGATTGGGATTGGGGCTGAACCGACTCAGAGGCATGTCTGCATAAAATACTACTAAAATTACCATTTAAGTGTTTAGCATTGTTTAGGAGGTTAATTCCTGTAGAACACGGTGCCCGAAATTTGATCTAGAAAAGAAATAAGTACATCAATGCAAATAAAAATAAGTTATTTCTTATGCTTACCATGGCTGTTTTCATCGGGATATTAGTAAATAATTATGTAATATTCTACGGTTTAAAACCGAACTTGACAGCCAGTAGTCAGTAGATTTAGAAGTTGAGGTTGGTTCTATCTAAAGACACTAACTAAGTACAAGGGTAGAATAATAAATATATAAAGTTTTATTTAATGTTAGAAATAACATTTGAAATAGCAAACTACACTGCTATTGTCCTTTTAAATTATTCTTTAAGAATAAACATTCAAATAATGGTCAGCGGTCTGTAGTCACTCCATTATTTTCTATGATTTCTATCAATATCTATCAACTTATCGATGATCTATGACTATGTCTCTTATCTATCTATGCTCTTATCTATGAAATCTGTCAAATTGTAAAGTCTGGTGTTTCCGCGTTTGTCTTTTGGTTTGCTATTCTGATGGTTTTAATAAATTTAGCCGTCTAATTAAATTTATTATAGTATATGTGTGAATATTATGATAATTGTAGCCCTCATAGTTTTAAATCTTATTGTATGCAATAACTGACTAAAACTTTATTAATAGTCACACAAATTAATTAGGTAAGTGTATGTGTGTGGTTTGATAAATTGTTTATTTACCTAAACTAAAATGCAATAATTCATTAAACCATATTAAATAAAGAAAATAAATTATCTATTTATTGAAAATGTCCATGTTATAATTTAAGATGAAACAATTTCGTTTGTCATGTATTTGTATGTTGAGAAATTATCCAAGAATCTAGGAGTAAAAAATGACCAAACCTTTTTGTTAATTTTTACAGAAAAAACAGAAACGAAATTTGTTTTTGTTACAAACTAACTGCAAATTTTTATGCATTTTTATTATTTTGTAAGTTTTTTATTTGTATTTTATTTTGCAATTTATTAGCGTAATTGATTGTATTTTTCCATTTTATAGTTTGATCCGTTAAGAAAACCACAAAATGTATGTTCTCATGCAGGATACACAATATGTTGTTCTATTTTTCAACTGGAATGATTTTTTATTTAATGAAGGTAAGATTTCACTATCTCAAAAATTTTAGCTCTAATAGCTGTGCCCACTACTTGGTTAACTGGAAATATCTATTTTTGAAACATATCAGAACGTAATAACGTTGCTGTGATTAATAACTCTTAAGGTTTGGTTTTGAATAGTTTAAATACTTAAAAATTTTGATTTCTTGATAGAAGAAACATTTACATTTTTGAATTATCTAAATTTTGAAAATTTTACTTCTTCATATCTTCTCTTTGGAAGTTTAATTCTTTATTTCCTGTTTTTTAGAGCGCGTCAAAAGAAAACATTTATTGTTTACTTAATTTTATTTGATAAATTAATTGTTCCTCTAATAAATGAGTTAAAAGTATCAAAACCTTTTGAAGTTGTTAGGGGAGGAATCAGTGAAAGATTTTTTATTGTTAGAAATTACCGGCGTGTACTTTCCAATCTTAATTTAAAAACGTTGTTTTCATCTACTGATAAATTAATTTTGCCCTTATTAAACGAGTTAAAAATACCAAGATAAGGGCATTAGTGAAAAGAAGTTTTTAGTTAGAAATTACCACTTTCAACCCCCAATTTAAAAAGATTAATTAATAAAAATGTAATAATGTTGTTATGAGTTTATAGAATCTAAAATTATGTTGCTAAAATTGAGTAGTGTTGTATTGTAAACCCTCTTTGCAGGCGGTATTTATTAAAGAAATTAGAATTGCTACTTCGACTATGAGAATGCTTAGCAGTTAAGTGGGTTGCCGATACGTAACTATTTAAATTCAACTTATAATGCTAGTGTGGGCTTGATAAACATAAATGTTACAGTGAATGTCGAAATTTGTAAGCAACTAACTTTTTCGATTTTCGTAAAATAATTATTTAAATTTATGTGGTACATGCCTAAGCAATGTATGAAAATAATTATGATTTCATTACACTTTTTATGTTAATGAATGTCTTACTTGTTTTGGGCATTTGTGTAATATGGATATTTTTACGTTGTGTACTGTACACTAGTAATTTTTATACAATTTTTGATAAAGGTTTTATATTTAAAAATGCGAGCAAAAAACTATGAGGTAGATTTATTATAATTGTGCTGTTTATTTTTTAATTAAATTTTCTATTATTAACGAAGATAAGAGTATAGAAACATAATAAGGTAATTATATCATTGTTAAAAAAATGCTTCTTAATAAAAAATAGCGATTGTTTTGGAATAAAATAATGTTCCCTTTTTCTATTTGCATATAGTAAAATTGAGAAAAGAAGTACTGGTTAATGTAAATTATTTATATAATTTGTAAGAAGTATTCACAATTACTTTACAATTCAAGTTATTATATTTTTAATAAACCAATTATATTTAAATACTGTTTATTATAACAAATTATTTTACAGAAACATTGTGCAAATTGTGGACACCACATGTCG